TAGTACTCTTGTATTGGAGTTGAGAGCAAGAAGCAGATGGGATTAGTTATAAGAGGCAGTGGTGCATCCAAATCTTCAGTGTTGCCACAAGTGCCTAAGCGACGACATCTAACCATAGCAAATATATTGTTTCTCCGTTCACTTGGATATCATGTCAACGATGACTATGTACAAAAGAAAAAGAACTGAAGAGAAAGCACATACACATACTTCTTCAATCTCCAACGTTCGATGAGTCCATTCGCAAGTCTGAGTATAGATCTTATACGCCATTCATCAAGTCATTCAATTGTAATGATTCTGTGGAATTTAACGTCAATCAAGTGGATTCGTTCTTTGCCATGTTCGCTTCCCGGCTAGCCATCAAAGGAAAACTAGAAGTAACTGGTAAAGGAGATGTAACTTTAGCACCCAACTTTGGGGGCTTCCTTTTTGACTCTTGTACGTACAGCGAATCAGCTAGAGAAGTTGAAACAGTGCGTGATCCTGGAATTGTAAGTGCTATTCGAGCATATACTTGTTACAACAAAGACGATGCAAATCATATGGGTATAGCTGGTTGGAACTATCCTTCAGCACCGATCCTCTCTGCACATGACAAGTCTTTTAGCTTGCTGATGCCACTTAAACATATTTTCAACATTTTCAACGATTATCCTATGATTACGTGTGGCAGACACACTTTCAGATTTGTACGAGCTAGAAATGATAACGATTGCGTTATTATCAAGGAAAAAGTTGGAGAAACTGGAACAACAGCGAAAATTGTTATCGAAAGCATCGAATTGAAAATCAAACATATTTATCCGAATGATGATGTAAAAGAACAACTTTTAAAATCTATTCAGACTGACAAGCCGATACTAATTCCGTTTAGAAAATGGGACCTTAACGAATTGCCTACAATAACTGCAGGTGCGAGAAGAGAAATATGGGCAGTTAAAACCAGCACCGCAATTGAAAGACCGCGTTTTATTATCGTATGTTTCCAAACTGATAAACGTGATGCTGTTGAAGCAGATCCGACCCTGTTTGATCATGTAAATACGGCTAGCATTCGAGTATCTTTAAATGGTGAATACTATCCCAATGAACGTATGCAGTTAGACTTTGCAAATAGTCACTTTGCTGAGGCTCATTTTAACTACAGCGACTTTCAAGTCAGTTATGCAAACTCTACTGTGAAGAAATGTCTTTTGGATTATGTTGCATTTAAAAATCGTGCTTTGTTCGTTATTGATTGTTCAAAGCAAGAGGAAACTATGAAATCATCTACTGTCGATGTGAGATTGGATATCGAAGCCGATACTGGATTCCCGGGCAACACTAAAGCCTACTGTATAATTATTCATGATTGCTTAATGGAGTACTTCCCCCTCACCGAAGTTATTAAAAACATCTCGTAAGAAACGTTAGCCTCAGATTCAAAAGAGACGTCATGAGAATCGCACTCGTCGACATTCAAGGCTTCATCGTTGATGACTTATTTGTACCCAAAGAATTAAGCATCAACATTGGTTTCAAGACGAGCCATTACATCTTTACACCTCCGCAGCCATTTGCTACATTAAGTAATAAAGACAAAAAAACTGCATCGTATTTAGAGAAGAATTTACATGGCATTAAATACTCTTCGGGTAACGTAGAATATTCCAAGTTGAATAAAATACTTGAGAATAAGTTGTTGCTTGCTGCAGACTATATTTATGTTCGAGGAGAACAGAAAGCAGGATTTTTACTTAAGAAATGCAACATTTTAGGCGTTTTTCCCAACATTATTGACGTTTGCAAGTATGATGGTACGCCCTGTGCAACTGGAAACTTTGCAGCTGATATCAACCCATGTCATGCCACTGGACAATTTTCTTGCACCCAACGAAATGTGGAACGTCTACGCCAATGGCTTATAAATGTAATATTACCTATGTAATGGGTAGTTTTTTAATTAAATTTTAATTCTTTAACGTATGATTTGGGTTTTATTGAAACGCCTTTCCTTTTTAAATATTAATTTTAATGCAAGAAGATTCGCATTTGCGATTTACAATTTTTACAACAATATTTAACAATATTATTATTATTCCAAAAAGTATAATGTATAAAAGTATAACTGATGTATCATATTGGATGATTTCATCGGTCTCGTACCATCTTGAATCGCTCTCCGTGTTATCAGGAAATATAAGCTTTATCTTGTAGAATTGTCTTGGCTGTATTTCTTTGAAGAATACTGGAAGTTGCCCATCATTTACTACTTTATGATCCATCAAAGTCCATTCAGTTCGATTACAATCACTTTTTACATCATTAATACAAATTGCCAAATTCTTGACGTTATTGGGGACATTTGTATATAAGACATTATTAAAAATAGCCGTTAGGATGATGAATGATTCTGCTACTTGTAACATCTTGTAGGCCGAATCCTTCTTAGTGGATATTGAGCTGCTGGCGTCTTGTAATTTAGAAATACTTTATCCCACACACTTAGGTTTGCTAGTTGCGCTACGATTATTTTCTTATCTTCGTACAAAGCTATTTGTTTATTTAATTTACGAATATTTTCACAAAATTCTTCAAGTTTGCGTCCTTGTTCGTCGGATGACATCATAATACTAAATCATTTAACCACTTACTTTGATTTTTCAGGTAGGAGAATTTTTTCAATATTTTTCCCGTAATCTACACATAAATACCTTTTCAACGAGGTATCACATGCTCCAGGGCGGGGGCGGGGGTCGCGGGGGCGGGGGTGCGGGGGTGCGGGGCGCCTGGCACGAACCATGCGATCCCACTATGCCTGACCAAGTCCGCGCGAATCGTTCCCCTCTCTCTAACACATTGATTTCCCATACCTATAGGTACCTCTCTCTCTCTAACACATTGATTTCCCTATACCAATAGTGATACCCGTATAGTATATCTACTGACATGAATACATCGTTAAGTTTAGTGGTACTCCTCAGGGATTAACCTGATCTGTATTTGACTTTCTAATGTCATGAAACAACATTAACCTGACCTATACGTAACTTTACTAATGGTGGAATTAACAGTTAATAGTAATTTGGAAAGAGCGTTCGTCCATCCTGACAAATTTACCCAGTGCCGCCCCTGCTATAATTTAATGACTTGGTCACTAGATAGCTTTATTTTTAACTCAGTAGAATGTATTGTTGAATAATTATTTCCAAACTTAAACAAATTTAGTTTGTTTTTTTTTATTGTTTTTATTTTTAGTTATGCTTAAAACATCCCTATATATATAAAACAGAGAACGTAATTAATGTTCAAGAGAGGTAAATAAATAGAGAAGTCTTAATTTTGTTTTGTTTATTGTAACTTATAAAATTATTAGAATTTAAACTTTTCTTTATTACAAAATGTATTATTTTAGTAATGGTCAAAATCTAAAAAGTGTACATAGTTATAGTTAACAAAATGCCAGAATTTACATATTTTTTAGTAATCGTTTTCCGAGTAATTGATATCGGAATCGGTATCGCTGTCATATTGCTTGACAATTGTGTTTTCGTTAATTAATTCATTTGAAATACAATTATCTTCTTGCAAAATATAAGTTATTGTTGTCGGCAAAACTTTTCCAACGAACCAAATAGGTTTTAAAATCTGTACATCCCCATGTGGTTCTATAGACCATCCACATTCTTCGGGTTTTAAGATTGCGCAGCGAGATTCAGTCGCATTACGCCACATCGAATTAATGTAGATGGTTCTCAATATTTTTTGTTTTAGAGTCTTCCAGCAAGGCGGAATAAGAGTCGATTCAAACCCTTTCACTTTAGTCGCGATTTTTGTACCATTTCCTTTAGTAGCATAAGTTTTATTGAAAATATTATATCTAGCTTCATTGACACTTATACAATTCCTTTCTTTATACAGTAAACATGTGAATTCTTAAACAGAGTCAATAATGTGATTGTCAAATATATTGGAAGGATCTGATAGAGATATGAAAACTTTTTGTATTTTTAAATTTTTTTGAAAAATATTGAAAGGGGTGACTTTGCCTTTTCCATAAAACGATGCCGAATAATCACAGCCGGTGAAAGCGTGAAACGCTGGCAAGCTATTACAAAGATTATACCCTAAACTTGATTCAAGATCATTGCAATTGATGCAGAATTGCTTTCCGGCAGATGTCTTCCCACAAAACCAAACATTTATTTTAGAAAATTTTTCGATATTTCCCAGCAAGATTACGAAAACGTCTGTATCCGTGGCTTTTATAACAATATTTGATGGACTAGGGAGTTTGCTCAAGTGGATAATTATTCTCGTGTCTGCTTCCTCGTGAAAGCATTTCAATCTTTTCTCTTTGGTTTTTATTACAGATCCATTTTCGCAATAAAACGAGAAAAATTTTTCTTGAGACGTGATAAAAACCTTGTTCGCAAAGGAATGCAAACAAACCTTGCTTGAATTTGAATTTTCTTTAATTTTGTGGGCCAGTAATAGAAATTGGGGTGTTGCATTTATTGCGATTTATACGCTAGCAGTCTTTTATCGAAGGCGAAATGTGAACATCAAAAATTAAATGAATTTCAGAGGAAGCCGATGCGCAAACTTTGATTAGAATTTTTTCGGCAATTCTTCCAAATTCAAGTGGAACGACAACTCCCATCTGATGCAACAAATAAAAGCCATCTATTATTTCAACATCTACAAAAGGTGGTAGTATTTGTTCTACTCGGGACATGAGTTTTTTTGGCCAAAGTTGATTTGTCAGTCTTGCACATTTCGCCATCAATGTGAAATAGAGCCAGGGGAACAGGGACCAAAAGAAAAATAAAACATCGCTCCATATCAACTTTATTTTCGATGGTAGTCTTCAGAAGGCGACCAAATATATCACGTTCCATTTTAGTCACAACTTGTTTTTTTCCATCAGGGGTTTTTCGTATTGTAAGTTAAATATCTTGTTTCGTTTTACACTGCTATTGAAATTCGTTGAATCGCTAGCACAAGAAGAAATAAAACTATTTTTTTACGCGTCCCAATTCTCTACTGTCCCAATCAATTACTGAACTAGAAGCCGCTTTTCCAGTGGAAATGTTAAACAGTTCTTTCTGATCAACGGTTGCACTAAAAGAATTCATATTATCATGTATAGTTTGAATGATTAAGTCGAGATGTTTACGATCTTTCTTTTTTCTATCGGATTTTAAAGAATGGGAAACGTCATCTTTTCGAGAAAGGGAGACACCTTCTAAAACTTTAGAAATGATTTTTGTTCGCATGCTGTGACTTAAAGCCCACCTTTGACGCGCAGAAAAGGAATCAGTCAGGTGACTAACTTCCGTCAATTTATTACCATCATCCGCGTTGATTGTTTGCTCGAGAGTCAAATCGACTGGAGCGCGTGCTAACTTATTGGATGTGCGTTTGACACCAAAAGCTCCTTGATGGAATTGCAACACCAATGGCGAATTTTCTGTTTTCAACCTGATTAAATTGATTAAGTAAGCGACAGACCAACGAGCGTAGTTTGGCTGATTCATAATGAAGAAAAAATCAGCCATATCCGAGATCCAAGCTATATAAACATCTTCTAATGCTTCTCGAAAATATGTGATAAATGGAAATTAGCTCGACAAATTGGATGTAATACTTCGCACTTTTATCATGAATACCAGCCAAAGTCAATTCATGGAAATCTCGATATCGATTAACAACAGATGCAAGTGAATCAGAAAGCAGAAGTGCTTCATTTGGTCCCGTTGGGTAACTTTTTAAGTGCAGTAGGTCCTCGGCCATTTCTTGAAGTTCAATATTTTCTTCGGAGAGAAAACGCTGCAGATGTAGTGTCTGTAGAGCAGCGCTTAGCAGGGGGTAAATGCGTTTGCACCTGTTAAAGTGCTTGCCGCCTATAAAAGCATTTACTGAGCCACCGGAAAGAACTTCAGATTGAACCAAAATGTCTATCAAACCGGAGGAATCGATGAATTTATCAATACCATTGAAATAAGCCATCTGCATATGAAAAGCACCAAGATTTATAAAAATGTGATCGAAATAAGGGCTTTCTTGCTTTTTTATTTGCATGGCCATATTCGCTATAGCGAGATCATAAGTAACGACCATGGCTTTGATTGCATTTCTCGGCAATAGAACGTGTATAACACAACGTCTCGTAAAGTACATCGTATGAAGTGGGCGACGCATTAATAGGAGGCAAATAGTCTACTATCTGAGTATTGGATTCGTCGGATATCATTGTACAGTTATGAACAAGCCACATCGGCTTGGATGGATTTAAAAACAAAGACATTAACCACACCAGATCTCTTTCAGAATCAATTTTCGTCGATTCTTTGCAAGTATCGATACAATCCAAAATTGTTGGCAAAGGGAGCAATGAAATGGCACAATTTGATTTGGGATAATAACTTCTATTCTCGTTATCTAATATGTAGAATTTTCTACGTTTCCTAGAAACTGGCGCATCATCTTCACTGTCAGAGGATTGTTGCAAAGGCACTTGTTCAACTTCTTGTGGAATTGCGATAATTCTCGGATTGTCCATTTGATAAATTATTCCGACCGTATCGTGCAAAGTGTCCTTGCCGCCGTATGTTATGTTGAGAATGGGGTGTTAATACACTGCGACCTAAAAGATCTATTGTGCCCTCCGTAAGTATCTACATAACGATCAAAATTATCAAATGCAACGTGAGTGCAAAGAACGTTAATTGCGTGAATACCCGAAGGAATCACAGAATTTTTTCAAAGTGAGTATATGCCATTTTAGTTTCTATTTCCTCGGCCGTATTGTACGAAATTGTGTAACCATATCGATTTAAAATTGTCAAGACCTTTTTTGAGTTTGTGATTGATTTCAAAGCCAACCCAAGTGTGAGATGTTTTGATGGTCTTACTTTGCCTTTGTTGATTACAAAAATCAAATCACTACAGATTCACTTGATTTTGAATTCATCGTCACAACAGTTTCACCTACGACAATCAGGACCGTACACCAAGTCAGCTATGAACTGGAATAAATCCTCTGGAATATCGGTTTCTCCTTCAAGTACATTTTCTACAGTAACGTCCCTCGGTAATTTCCTAGCGGTTGAAGACTTGACGGAGTGGCGCAAAGCAAAGGCAACGTTTTTGAATCGGGTACTCTCGCGATCATCAGCGACTGCTGATTTCGCAGCAAAAGCAGCCGAAGTTATTTCGGGATTGAATACGACTCTTTTTCCCTGCGAAAGATCTGAAATTTGAATCATGATGCGTTCACCAAACGAACTCATTATTTTCCGTTGTAAATTATCGCAAGTATAAGAATCGATGCCCTTTACATTTGTATTGCTCCCGTATTCCACAAGTAAGGCTTTGTAGTGTAATAACAAATCCGTAAGGAAATAAACTTCCTTTTTTGCAATGATTTCCTCCTCAATAAACGAGGACAAAGCCTCAAAAGCAGTTTGATGGAATTTTCGAGTTTCATGCCAAGGGTAATTGTTTTTCTTCTAAACAGTTATTGCACTGTGCTTGAATTTGTAAGAAGTAAAGCAAGGATTATGATATGGTACAGAATCGCATTTTGATAATTTCAACAATAAATCATCATCTTTTAGCTCGACTGCCATCATTTTCATGGATTCGACGAGTTTCGATAATACAGGCGAAGTGCTTATTTTCAATGATTTACGATTTATCATTTTTCGCTGAGTGTCGCAAAAAATACAGCGATTATCACTTTTGATAGAAATTTGCATGACAAGAGGTGGTAATTGCTGTAAAGCATTCGTAGAGGTTGACGCAGGTGAAGATGCTGATGGGTCTAGGCTCCGGCTTTTAACGTGAAATGAAGGTTTGTGTTGTAGGTCCAATTGGTCGGTGGTTACAGATGACGATTTGATTGATTCTTGAGTAGAATCTTCAAAATTCATTGGTTTATCAGTGGAGTTTTCGACAGACTTGGATGATATTCTTGTTACTGAGTCCGTATTACTTGTATGAAAGATTGGCTTCCTTGTCGTGAACGAAGCAACAGCTTGCTATAAAATAAACAATAGTGCTTTATGTACATTACTATAACAAAGCAGCAAATGACATTTTGTCATTTATACTCCTCCATTTTGAATTTTATAATTTTTACCCGGTTATAGGTTTTTTTGTAGTTATTGAATACTTAAAATCAAAAAGTTTTGTACATGAGAGAAATAGTATATTGTGCAAAGAGAAAAATTCTATACTTTTTTACCACTACAATCCCGTGTCTAACACGGGCATCTTAATGTTTCTGTTTATAATTATATCATATCGTTTATAATTTTTGAGTAAGTCAGTGGAAATATTTAAATTTATAAAACTCAATTAAACAAATTTACATTGTCTTGGTTGTGACAAACTTCAATGATGCTTTAAAAATCAAAATAAACTAAATTGAAATCTACGTCACTCTAAACTTATATAATAACAACCACAAAATTCTCTAAATTCTATCAAAAGTACCAATAATTCTGTTTTATAAAGTACATTGAAATTTTTTACAATAAATTCTCATATAGTGGACTTTTTTTTAAACATCGTTTTATTTATATTGTTTTGACAGTTTTGTTTTTTATTAATTTTAGGATTTTCTTTAGGTTGCACGGGAAATTCCACAACCACATAATTTTTGTTTCATTTAATTTATGCTTTAAATGCAGTAAAGTTATATATCATATTTGTTAATAATTTAATGGCAAAAAAGTAAATACTTACAGTTGTTTGCAAATTAATATTAAGTTCAGCTCGGTATTTTGGGTTTAAAGCACTGATCTGTATTATTTTACTGGATAGGATATAGGCTATATTTAACATACTAAAACACCGTTCCACCAAGGAGACCGGAAGTGCAACAATGCTGGCCGATTTGGGCAAATTATGCGGGCGATGTCCTTCGGGAAAATTTACCCATGATTTGATTTTTTATGAAAGAAAATATAAAAATGGAAACGTGAAGCATATTGTGTCTTCAGGAATGAACGTTTATTATTTATTTCATACTCTTTTTACTTTGTTTTCCACAATAAAAACATCTCATCGTAGCTTGTTGACACAATTAAATGACAAATGTGATGACAAATGGAAATAGAGGTTACGTTAAATAACATCCGGTCCGCCATATTATTTGCCCAAATCGGCCAATTTTTCGGAACATTTTTTAGGGGGCTATATCCTATCCAGTAAAATAATACAGATCAGTGGTTTAAAGTTGTAATTTTCTTTAAGCATTTCGAATGATATCCACCGCCATTTCGGTTTGGCAACAACAAATTTCCGTATGGATAATTTTTTCTTTTCGAAATTGCAGGACTCTGGTTATTTTTTGGAAAGTTTCGTCGCTGCATTTTAAGATGTTGCCGTCGTTTTTGCAAACAAAACACCTGACCATCGTTATATCAATTTATTATTATCACGACAAAGGGAGAAACTTCAACTTAAGCAATGACAAATGTCAAATAGACGTCAGCTGTGCGCATACTCCCAAACTTCTTAGCTTTACCTAAAGCTCGGATTTCATATGTGATCGAATCTTGCGCGCGCATAAAATCGCGGCAGCCTAAGTTATGCAAACGCTTTCGCGCAGCAGCCAGGTATTTCCTTGTTGGAAATTTTGCGACTTTTCCAACGGTATTTTGTTTGACTATAAAAGCGATGAGTGTATAAAAGCAACATCGATATAGTACTTTTCGGCCCCGTCAGCCACCCTTAACGCAAAGGATGATGGTCGGCAGCCGGGTATAGAAAATTATATTTAATTACTATCTATCGATTAAGTAGAAAATTTGGCACAAGAGCGATGGGTGGAGGGTGGCACATATTTTCAATTGTTAATAAGTTTTTATAACGTAAAACGCAAACGATATTGGGGCGGCTGCCGACGGTTTACTATTGTACAATATATTACCCGATGTTTTCATAAAAATTTAGCCATACTAGTGATCGACCCAACATTTTGCAGTGGGCTCCTAAACTAAATTCTTTTATTGCGGGTTGTACAGGTACATTAAGAAATAACATGCACTTGAAGCAACCGGCATAGAACATTCGATAGCGTATGTAAGCGAATTTGAAATCTTTGAAAGATTATATTTGCAGCCCAGTGAATTTAAATCAAATTCAGATAAAAACACTTTTAGAGGCCAAAATTTTGTACAAAATAATAATTTTCGGCCACAACCTCAAACTAATATGAATTTTAATCGACCAAATTCCTCATATTTTTTAAATCCCAACAATAATAGATTTCAGCAAAATATACAAAATCCCGAATGGTCTAGTCAACCCATAAATATCCAACCACAAACTATGCCGGCAAGAAAATATCCGACAAATTCACAAGTATTCGGACCGTCGCGAAACGTTTTTAGACCAAATCAAATATCTCAACATCGGCTTCCAAAGCCGGAACCGATGTTTACTAATTTAAGAATAACCTCTATGTATAACAAAAAAATACATACTACAAACATGCCTAAAGCTAGAAATATTTTTTTCCAAAATT